TTGGCCGCCGTATCCCCCTGTACGGAATGCGTGGTACTCTAGGCAGCAGTTTGGCCGCCGTATCCCCCTGTACGGAATGCGTGGTACTCTAGGCAACAGTTTGGCCGCCGTATCCCCCTGTACGGCTGTACGGAATGCGTGGTACTCAGGCAGGAAAGGGCTCTTGGCCGCGACCTTGTTGATAACAAACGGTAGGTTGGGAAGGAAAAAAAAACGAAAACTGCTTTCTCTAGCCTATCGTCTTCACCCAAATAGAACGCCAGGTCCTTGTAGATGTATTCAGGGCACCTTTCAGTCTAGATACTCAGCGACAATGACCAGGGATTTTATTCGGGGGAAGAAGGTAGGGGGAGCACATCCTCACGGCAAGGGTAAGAGGGAGGAGGACGAAACACAAAGGGAGAATGAAGGCAGAGGAAAGAAGTAAAAGAGGGAGAAGAGAAGAGGAAAGAAGGAAACAAGAAGGAGAAGAGAAGAGGGTGGGTGAGCGGAAAGAAGGACAAGGGAGGAAGGAGGAGCGACCCTACTGCTTTTCAAAGAGCGACAAGCAAGGAGGGAGGGTGGATTTGGCAGCTACCTGCGAACAACTCCCGTGAGACTGTGGAGAGTCCACAACTCCAACGTCATACCGAATTCAGACCCTGCAACGAATTCAGAAAGAGGAATGTCGATTTGAGTCAGGGCAAACCAAGGAGATCGAGCAGACATATCTTCCCCGCGTTTTCACATTCCTTTCAAGATCACACATGAAATGAAAGTGAAAACGGGTATCTGCAATCCCAACACAGGTGAATTACAAACTGGGCGGCAAAGTCCGAAGACATAGGACCTCGCTCCACTACCGTCTTCACCCGAATAGAACGCGCCCGGTCATTATAGCTGTGCTGCTGTATTTGGTGTAACTTTAAGTTTGAAGTCCAGAAGATACGGCACTAACTACCTATTTGGGTGAAGACGGTAGTCAACATTGGACGCGTATCTGGACTGCGACCAGATACATTCCGAGCGATCAAACACTTGTATTGAGACCCTTTTTAGGTCCAGATACGTCCATCCTGAATGTTCTGTGGCGGAGCTAGGCCCATAATCGCAACACAAATTCCCTCAGTTAACAAACACTTCAACGAAACTTCCAGAATTCGAGACATACAATTTCCTCCAATCGTTACAAATAATCACGAAGGGGGAAAAAATAAATAAATAAGGAAAACAATTTTTACTCCGATAAACTGAGATTGCTGACAAAGCAAAACTACTCGCAACATGCCGACAAGACAAAAAGTACGGCGGTGTATCTTTCCATGTTCTTGCGGAAGGTCCATTCCCATTTTGCACATTTGGTGACTACTGGAGCGAGCGAGAGACATTGGCAAACTGCTTGGCTCGTTAGAGCGAGAATTCGGGTGAATGGGACTTGGCCCCGGGTGCGTTTGTGTCATGGTGTGGCATGGCGAGCAAGCTGCGAGCTAAGCAAATATATTTTTTTTAATGATTTTTTTCATTTTTTAATGTGGTCCGATTGACCACGGATCAATATTAAACTGATTAGAACAGATACTACACACGATCATAGCCAAAAGGCCGAGAAAGGTATAATTATATATTGTCCCACTGTGAATCAGATATATCGTCACAAGGATATAAGAGCTCAACAGCGAAAAAAAGAGAGAAAACAAGGACTTCTTTTTTTTTTTTAAATATATCATGGATTTTTTTGCCCCAGTATTTTACCGGGATTTTTGTGACGTTCCCGGTCTCTCTTTTCATGTGCAATAACACGATTCAATTCAATTCAATCTTCTTCTCAAAAGGAAAAAAGAACAAAAGAATGTTTTACAGGCATGCATCCCCACCGGGTACGCGTACTCGTGAGGATTCAGAACGTCTTAATTGTTTACAGCCAAATTACAGTAATTAATTGATATGCTGAATGATTGATTGATCGACTAATTGGCTCTGCTTTGACATGACCGACAGATTGACAGACAAAGGGCGTACTCACTCACAATAGCAGTATCTCAAAAGTATCTGACCGCATTCACGGCCATACCTGCATGTATCTGGCCGCAATTCCGTCCAGAAATGCGTAGAAAAAGTCGTAGTGTGAGTATGCCCCCTCGTTTGTAGACAATCGGAATCATCCCGAAAGAAGCCAAGGCCCTCGCTCCACAGCTCAACATTCTACATATGTTGTTCCATGTGTAATGAACGAGTTAAATTTAAAAAAAAAAAAAAAAAAAAAAAGTCTACGTATACCTGGACTAATAGTAGACCAGATACTTCCGATCTGACAGAACATAATGAATGTATTGAGATCATTACCAGCTCTAGATACGTTTAGAATGTACGCAGTGTGGATCGAGACCCTAATCAATCATCCTGTTTTTTTTTTGTTTTTTTTTAATAATCATCCTGTTTTCTTGACGATACGATTTCTCGCAAGCGTTCGACAGTTCATGCACAACAGAGGTGAAATGAAGAAGCACCAATTCAGAGCATACTCAGACTTCCCTTGATGGATCTAAGCGCATTCACGACCACATTCAGTCGGGGGTAACAATATCCTAGTGCGAGTATGCATCTAAACGCATTCACGACCATATTCAGTCAGGGGGGGAGCGGAGAGGAGCAGCACGAACCCGCAGAGAAGAACAGGAAGCAGGACAGAGTTTGGGCCTCGCTCAACTACTCACCAAATGTGCAAAATCAGAATGAATCTTCCGCTAGAACATAGGAAGATACACTGCCATTTTTGTTGTCTTTTGTGCATGTGGTGAGTAGTGTAGCTAGGCCCTTTATCATGTGATGTGCAGGCAATCTCTTCAAGAGTAAGGGTCGCGTTCCACCGCTCGCCAAATGTACCACTGCATGTTCCCGCAGGGAGTGGCCAGATGCATCCAGTACTAGTAGTAACGGATGCATCTGACCACTTCCTCGGGAAGATGCACTCCTACTTTTTTCGTTTCGACAGTGGATGTGGCGAGGCACTATCTTTCCACCTCTGCCACGAGGAGCACAGAAGGTCGACTCTTATCCCCCCATGCACCAGAGGATGGACAAAAAGGGAGAAAGGAGGAAGTGGGAGAATGAGAGATTAGAGGACGGGGTATCAAAAGCGCAACAGGAGGAAGAACGCTGAGATCAGCTCTGCGCCGACAAGAGTTTACTTCCCCAATGATGGCGTTGCCCTAGAAATAGCGAGAGGAAGTGACAGGAGGACACGCGAGCAAGAAAAGACACTAGCAAACGGGGATGGCAAGAAGAGAAGGGAGGAGGGAGGAGGGAGGG